AAAAATTCCAACAGGATTTTTCAAAATTTGACAAACAATTCGTAAAGCTTATACAAAAGAGAAAATGTACGAGAATCATTTCTAAAAGAATTTTTTGGGAAAAAAAACAAATATATATGACTAGATATAAAAACAAAGCTGTAGCATTTAACACAGGGTGGTACTGGGCTAAGAAGAGACAAAACAGATCAATGGAACCGAACAGAGTCCTGAAATAGACTCTTGTATGAATAGGAATTTATTTTACTATAAAAACAGAATTTCAAGTGAGTTGGAAAAAAGACGGATACTTAAAGAAATGGTGTTGGATGAACTGCCTAAAACTTTAGAAAGAAATTAAGTTACATCCTTACCTTTTACTTCATACAAAAATCTGGTACTGTAAAGAGCTAACCATACACATCAAAACAATAAAAGTATTAGAAGAAAATAAGATAATTTTCAAAATAATTTTTAGGTGCAAAAGATCTCCCTAAGCCAGATGAAGCACAAAAATCATAAGATTGCAGGGCACCTGGGTGGCTCATCAGTTAAGCGACCAACCCTTGGTTTCGGCTCAGGTCATGATCTCAGGGTCATGAGATTGAGCCCCGTGGAGGGCTCTGAGCTCAGCGCAGCGTCTGACTTGAGATACTCTCCCTCCCTCTCTGTCCCTCCCACTGCTCGCTCGAGCTCTCTCTCTCTAAAGTAAAAATAAATAAATAAAATCTTGTAAAAAAATCATAAGATTGCAGAGTTGGTTACACAAATATTTAAAACGTCTGTGAAGCAAAAGATAGTTTAAAACAAAAGCATTATGAATGGATAAGCAAAATGTGGTATATGCATACAATGGAATATTATTCATTTTTAAAAAGGAAGAAAGTTCTGACACCAGCTACAACCTGGATGGTCTTGAGGACATTTTGCTAAGTGAAATAAGTCAGTCACAAAACGAAAAGTGCTATATGATTCATCCATTCAGGAGGCACCTGGGGTAGTCAAATTCAGAGAGACAGAAAGTACAATGCCAGCTGCCAGGGGCTAGGGCCCGGGGGGAATGGGGAGTTATGTTGAATGGGCACAGAGTGTCAGTTTTACAAGATGGAAAGAGTTCTAGAGACGAATGTTGGCAATGGGTGCACAATACTATGAGTGTATTTAAAACACTGACCTGTATACTTAAAAATGATTAAAATGGCAAATTTTATATTATGTATTTTACCACAAAAAAAATTGGTGGGAAAAAAAAGAACATCATACTAGAAGAAATATTTAAATCATCTACAACACACAAAGGATTAAGATCCTGAACAGGTACAGAGCTTCTGCAATAAACAGGAATCAGAAAAAGCAAGTCAATAGAAAGACGAGCAAAAGACAGGAACAGGTAATTCACAGAAGACACGCATGACCCATAAACATTAAGAGACATTAAATTGCAGTAGTAATCAGCAAAATGCAAATTAAAATGCCATATTGGGTTTCACTCATTTACCAGATTTGAAAATTTAAATAAACAAAAAAGATAATGGCTGATGGGAAGGATGACAGAAACAGATTCTCATGCACTGATTTTAAATTAGGACTGGGGTGGGGCAGTGTTATGATTTGAAGGATTCAAGTGGAAAAATGGACCAACCCTTTGACCCTAGAACTCTATTTCACAGAAATACTCAGGCCAACACACAAAGATGAATGCACAGTCTTTCCTGAAGTCCTGTTGCCAATGCTGACTAATTTTAAACCACCCAAATGTCCAATAAGGGAAAAAAATGGATAAATTATATTTCTAATTTAGAATAACATGTAGCCTTTAACAAAAGGGTTTGTACTGACATGGGAAAATCTCTAAGACTTGGAAAATGAAAAAGTAAGCTGCACAATGTATAGTAAGATCTCATTTATATATATTAAGATATATGTATGGATACATTATTATGCAAATGCATAGAAAACAAAATAAAATCTCAGAATGCTATTTACCAAACTTCATCCTTCCTCTTCTGAGTGGGAGTAGGAGTGACCATGGTAGGTTCTACACTTCATTCTATATGCTTCTCTATTTTTCTGAATGAGAACATATTCAGTTATTATTGGTATTATTTTTAAAACATAAAAATGAAATTCAGACAACCTGGAATAAATAAATGCTGAAAAACCAGTACGCCTGACCCTTGAACAACGTGGGTTAAACTGCACAGGTCCACTTATACACGGATTTTTTTCAATAAATGCAATATGGAACTGTAAGTGTCTTTTCTCTTCCTTATGACGTTCTTAATAACATCTCCCATTCTCTCTAGCTTACTTCATTGTAAACACAGAGTATATCATACATATAACATACAAAATGTGTTCATCAACTGTTTGTGTTATCAGTAAGGCTTCTGGTCAGCGGTAGATTACTAGTAGTTAAGTTTTGGGGGAGACCAAAGTTACACGCGGGGTTTTAGGCACCCCAACCCCATGTTGCTCCGGCGCCAACTGGAGAACTAAAATGAGAAGGGGAGGAAGGCTGTGAATCCAATGACAGCTGCTGGGGAAGCAACGCTCACCTTATGTAACTACAAAGAAGCCTGCTTGGAGGGAGGCATATTTCTCACAATATTGTATGTGTTTTATTTTTCCCCATTTCACTTTTTTTTTTTTTGAAATCAAGGAGAGTTTCCCTCTCCAGGGAAAGGAGGGCCAGGTCTCACTGTTCCTGTAAGTGAGCAAGAGGACACTCGCTCGGATTTCCTTCGAAGGGAGCCAACAATGCCCCAGCCCAGTTCCCACGAGGAAAACATAGTCCTCCCTCTTATGGAAGTTTATTACCACTGATCTCTCTTTCAAAACCATCGTCGTTTTCCTGACTTGGTTCCTTTTTCAGGACAAAAGGGTTACAAGGAACATCAGAGAGTCTGGTACACCTCCACGCACTACCTGTGTAGGTGCTCCTGGTCTTTCAGGTTAAAGAAAGGGCTAGAAGGAAGAGACCCAGTGTGTAAGAAAGTATTTTCCCCCACGTGGCCTGAGTCCTGTTGGACACTGTCAAGCTGGCCTTTGATACAAAAACGCTCAGACACATTTGCTGGGACAACAAGAGGCAGAACTGCGACAAAGATGTAAGTCACCAGGAGGCAAGTTACAGCTGCGAATTAACTTTGTCCAGCAATCAAATATCAAGTGGTGAGCTCGCCACTATTGGCTTCTAATACTTCTGAATGCCACCAGGGCAGACACAAACTGAGCATGACCTGAAGATTCTAGATAGGTAAGTGGGAGTCCAGTGCTTTAAAAAGATAGATTCTGAGGCGCAGCTCAGTCTGGGGCCCTTCAGTCCCAAGGGTGTCTGAGTGCAGTTTAAAGCAGCCCAGGAGAGAGACAAAGGAGGGCAGTAATGGAGCACCACTTCCAGGACCACTCCAAAGAGGGTCCTAGAGTTGGAAGGCACAGCATAGTGCTTATAAGCAGAAGCCTGAGCCAATTCCTGACTCTCACCTGTTTGCTGTGTGACCACAGACAAGTTACTGAACTTCTCTAGGCCCTGGTATCCTCACTGATAAAAGGAGAATGACAAAACTACTACCTAGCTCACTGGTGAAGCTTATGTGAGCTGGCATGTGTAAAGTACTTAGAACAGCACCTGGGCCACAGCTAAGTGTGAACCATCATTATTCGGCGCAAGGCTGACCAGAGGAGTAACTCCAGCCTAGTCCCAAAGTCAGCGTTAGACACAGGCACAATACCCCAAGCTTCTTTCCTTCCAGCTCAAATCAAATATACCACACTCACTCCGATCGCATCCTCTACAGTGACCCCCACATTTACCCCTCTTGAGTTGGAGCATAAGCTTATTCACAGAGTGTCTTCCAGCCTGTCGGTTACCAAGTGGCCTTGCTCAGTGGCACCCAAACGCGCGCTTCCCACCACGGGGCAGGCAGGCAGGATGCATGCGGGCAGGCACGGACGAGCTGAGGAAGGACAGGCCCAGGAGTATCAATAAAAGACTCACGGTGTCAGGGGCAAAGCCCTGGGCCACGCGGCGTTTTCGGAATCACCGCGGCCCGCTCTACGGTTTTGGAAAGTTCCTGAACCGCTCTATGCGGGTGAGGGGTGGGGCGCTTGCATTTCCAAGTCTCCCGCTGCTCAACAGGCCAGCTCGGTGCTCCTTCCATTCTCGTGGCAGAGGAGACTAGGTGCCTGCCCGCAGCACCGCGCCACCGGGATCTCCAGGCTGCACCCCGGTGTGAGCGCCGCCCACTTCCAGGTGTAAACACAGACGGGAAGGAAGGACATCACGGACAGCGCGCAGCGGAGGCAATGTTAGGGGGGCGTTCAGGGGGCGCGGGGGTGGTTGGGGACAATTAACTCCCGTGGCGATGTGTTGGGAGAGAGGCAAAAGTGGGTTACTTGGGAATTTTAACTCAATAAACATCCCCGACTACTGAGAAAGAAGCGACGGGACCGTGAACTTCCCGCCGGGTACAAACGCCGCGGCGGGCCCGGCAGCGTGCGCTCTGGAAAGAATTAACTCTTTCAGCGTTACTCGCCGGGCGGGTCGGCCGGCCAGAGGCGGGGACCGCTCCGAACACCGTCCCGGAGCAGGTCGAACCGCGAGCCAAAGCAAACGCGGAGCAGAGGCGGCGCCGGGCAGGGCAGGCGGGCGGCCGTGCGCCGCGCCGCGTCCGGCCGGGCAGACACCGGAAAGGGGCTACAGAGCTGTGGGATCCCTCCGGGCGCCGCGCCAGGGCCGCGCGCGGGGAAAAGCTGGCGGGTCGCGGGGAAAGCTGCGGCGGAGCGCGGAAGAGGGCGGGCGGGCGGCCGGGGT